AATCCCTGTGTGAAACGGACTGGACTGCGAAGGATCACGTGGGAATCCTCAACGTTTCATAGCCAGGCCCAGCGCTGGCGGGACTGAGCCAGCGTTAGCCTCTGGAGACCGGCACCTCCACTGAGCCCCTGAGCCACACGTCCATCTGTCCCCCTTTTCAGTATTATGCCTCTCAACGTCCTGTGAACTCTTCCGCAATCTCATAAACCTTCAGGGCCAGGGGTGAGGGATTTACCCTGTCCCTGGGCTGGTATTTTGAGCCGTCTGCTGTTGCCACTTGAATCCTGGCTCCGTGAGACCCCAGCACGGCCCCTGACTTCCCCCCACATTGTCTCTTTGCACATTTTTAATGCAAGATTCAGGTCGTTGGCACACAGCAAAGCCCATTTCTGGCGTGGGTCACCAGACACGATTTCCCCCCACCCCCTTCCCCGCCCTCGTTGCACGGTCTTAACCTTCCACAGTGGAGCATTACTGGGACGCTGGTGATTTTTTTTTGTTTCCCTGCCTCCCCGCAGGCTCCTGGGCCTGCGTCTCCAGGCACCTTTATGGACTCTTTTGCGAGTCCGGGACTGTGAAGCTTCCCCCTCCCCCTGCAATAATTTCTGGCTTAGTGCTTAGATTTGTGTCCCACTGGATGTTGGGTCCTGCCCCCGGCTGCTGCCTGGCCGCACCTTCCGGACTCCGCAGCGGGCTCTGCAGGGCAGAGGACAAGGGAAGCTGCCCCCTGCTTCATGTGTGACTCGTGGCTGCTGTGGCCCTGTCCCATGGCTGACTGGCTCTGTTGCCCTGAGGGCAGGGTGCCACCTCCTTCGTGAGGTTGAGCGTGTCCAAGCCCTGCCTCGAGCAATGAGTTGTCGGCTTCCTGGATGGGTGGTGAAATGCTGGTGGGGCTAGTTCTTCCGGCCCTGGGGGCTGCGAGGCCCAGCCCGTGCCTGCCTCGCCAGCCTGCCCCTCGGCTTTGGGAACGCTGGCTCGCCCGTAGCTTTGCAGTGCGCAGCCCTAGCTAGTGCCTTCATTGGTCCGCATAGCGCAGCTACTGATTGTCCAGCCCCCAGCAGGTGCTGTGAAGCACCAAGCCCTGAGCCTGGGCTGTTGGGTGTCGGAGTCCAGGGGGTGGGTGTCAGGCTCCAGCCCAGGAGGGCTCTGTACCCTACGGGGAGCTGCTAATGAGGCTTCTCCACATGTTTGGTGTTTAGCTAAACCTCCACGTTTGTGTCCTCCCTGTCCCCTCAGTGTGCCCAGGCTCCCTGCCCCTGCTGGTCAGAGGGTGGCCCCCTCTACACCCTGGGTGTGTTTGCTGTGAAGCTCCCAGTCCCCCACTCCCCACATTACCTGTCCCAGTCCTGGGTCTCTGTGAGCACTAATGATTTGCAATGTTGATTTATTCAGCCTTTTTTAAAAACTATTTTAACCTAACGGCCTGGAGGTGACTGGCAGGGTGTGGCTGCACGGGCCCAGCCTTGCCACTGGCATGCACCGCAGTCCAAGCCAAGGCTGGCTCTTGTGCCGCCCCATGAAGGAGCCCAATTCCCCTTTCCCTGTAGCGAGTGCGATGACTGATTGGGCACGGTCTCAGGGCAGCCCTGTTCCTGGCTCCTTGCTACTGGTGTGGGGACAGCTCCACAGCCTGGGGAGAAGGGTGTGGAGGAACGGTGAAGGCCTAGGCACTCTCCCCTCCTCTGTTTGCACTTTCCTTTGCTTGGTTCAGTTCCACTGTCCCTGCTGGCTGTTCCCGGTTCTGCATAGTTCCTGGAGCATGTGGGTGAGAGCCTGGGGAAATGTGCTCTGGTAGAGCCCTGCCGCTGGAAGTGGAGGAGAAGCCAGTGTCAGTAGCAGGGAGCAAATCCCCGACCTCATCATTGCTTCCATAAGACTCTGTCCTTTTCCTTCCCTTCCCCTCTCCCGGCTCCCCCGAGCAGCTGGCTGGGTCCCAGGCAAGGGGCTGTGGGGTCCCCAAGGCAGGCTGTGTTTCTGGGGCAAGGGGCCCCACAGGGCTGTGGCAGGGCTGGGGGCGCCGGCTCCAGGGGCCACCAGCCTGCAACTTTTGTACTAAAACAAGGATAAAAATAAACTGAACGTGGGAAATGGCTGCGAGGCTCGGAGTAGTTTGTAGCCAGGGCTGGGCCTATCCTGGCGGGAAGGCGGGGAGGAAGCTGTGGCATCCAGCCGGGCTGAGCCGGATGATGCTGAGCCAGGGTCTGATCCAGGCTCCCTCCACTCTCTTGCGGTGTCAGGCAGCCTCCATCCTCATTTGAGTGCGGTGCTTGACTTCTTCAGGACTTCTGGGGGGAGAGTTCAAGGAGGAGCCCAGCCCAGCCTTCCCTTTTTTCCCCAACCCCAATTCTGTTTCTTCCTGTGATGCTGCCCCTGGGCTGCTATATGACCCTCCTCTCCTCTCCTCTCAGGCATGCTGCTGATGCACAAGACAGGGACAGGGCAGGGGCTTGGAGGTGTCTAATAGCTGCAAACAGCCCTGGGGCCAGGTCCCATCAGCCGGATCTCACTGTGGGGGAAGGCTGCCTGGCTGCGGTTTTGGGGAGCGCAGGGCCCTCTGCGCCCCCCAGCTCTGGATAGAGCCCCAGCCCTGGGCGCTGGGCGCTGGGCACTGCCGCCAGGAGCCTGCAATCCTGCAGCCTCTGCCCTGCCCCCCTGCTCCGCGCGGAGGGGGAGGCCGGGGCTGGAAGGAGCGGCCCGGGGGTGTTGCAGGGCTGGGGGAGCGGAGGCCCTGAGCAGCCCCCTCCCCTCGCAGAAG